CTTTTCTCACTGCAAGCTCCGCCTCCCGGGTTCAACGGCCATTCTCCCTGCCTCAGCTCCGAGTAAGCTGGGACTACAGGCGGCCGCAACCATGGCCCGGATAGTTTTTTGGTATTTTTAGTAGAGACGGGGTTTCACGCGTGTTAGCCGGATGGAGGATTTCTTAAATAAGAACCTAAAGCACACAAATATATATATATTAATAATGTATATACACCCACACACACACCACACACACAATTTTTTTTTTTTTTGAGAGACAGAGTCTTCACTCTTATTGCCCAGGCTGGAGCGGCAGTGGCGCAATCTCAGCTCCACTGCAATCTCTGCCTCTCCCCGGTTCAAGCAATTCTCCTGCCGTTAGGCCTCCCGAGTAGCTGGGATTTACAGGTGCCCTCCACGAATGCCCTGGCTAATTTTGCATTTTTAGTAGAGATGGAGGTTTCACCCATATTGGCCAGGCTATTCTCGAACTCCTGACCTCACAGTTATCCGCCTGCCTTTGGCCTCACAAAATGCTGGGATTACAGGCGTAAGCCACTGTGTCCGGCCTCAACTTAATTATTTTTTAAGGTGAAAAAAAAATGACGGTTGGTAGAGTGAAAAGTCTGAAACAGTGGAAAGAAACTCCCAAAAGAAGAGAAAGACAAGCCACAGGCTAGGCCAACAAATATCCTTTTTGCAATGCCAAATTAACCACCAAAGTCTATACAAGCATAGGCAAAGGACTTCAAATCAATGAGGAAGAGACACTGATTTTTTTTTTTTTTTTGTTTTGAGACGGCAGTCTCGCTCTGGTTGCCAGGCTGGAGCTGCAGTGGCCAGATCTCGGCTCACTGGCAGCTCCGCTCCCAGGGTTCATGCCTTCTCCTGCCTCAGCCTTACGAGTAGCTGGGACTACAGGCGCCGCCACCGTCGCCCGGCTAGTTTTTTTGTATTTTTTAGTCTAGAGACGGGGTTTCACCGTGTTAGCCAGGATGGTCTCGATCTCCTGACCTCGTGATCCGCCCATCTCGGCCTCCCAAAGTACTGGGATTACAGGCTTGAGCCACCGGCGCCCGGCCGAGACACTCTGATTTTAAAAATGGATAAGAGATAGGAACTAGCAATTCACAGAAGAAGAAATATAAATGGTCAATAATTATTATATATGAAATTAATATAGAGATATAATTTTATATAGATCATGTTTAAGCCAAATTATGAAGTCAGGCAATTTCAAGTATTACAGAAGATGTCGGACAATAGAAACTCTAACTGCTGGTGGGAATAGAAATTGGTATAACTTTTTTAGAGAACAATTTGGAAATATTTAGTGAAGTTGAAGACACAGGTCCTCTATGATTTAGCAGTTCCATTCTAGGCGTGGAACTCAGAGAACCAAATCACTGTAATAGTGAAAAATCAGCAACTTAAATGCCCATCAATAAGAGGGAGGATATAAAATGATTCAACGTAAATATAACAAAATATCAGGATTTGACAGAACTGGGTATGAATAAACAAGTGATAATATCTTCTTTCAAAAAAATTGGTTTAAAGTGGAAAGCTTCATAAATTTGTGTGTCATCCTTGCATGGGGCCATGCTAATCTTCTCTTTATCATTCCAATTTTAATGTATGTACTGCCAAAGCAAAAAAAATATCATTATTATTAATAGCTAACATTTATTACTATGTACCAGGGATAAGTGTATTTCATATAAAGTAGGTACTATTTTTATCCCTATTTTGTAGGAAACTGAGATATTAGAAAGATGAAGTAACTTCCTAAGATCACACAGGTAGAGAAGTGAGACGGTTTGACTCCAGAGCCCCATTCTTTTTTTTTTTTTTTAATTTAATTAATTTCTTTTTTCATAGAGACAGAGTCTCACCACGTTGCCTAGGCTGATCTCAAACTCCTGAGCTCAAGCAACCCGCCCGCCTCAGCCTCCCAAAGTGGTGGGATTACAGGTGTGAGCCACTGTGCCTGGCCCAGAGCCCCATTTTTAACAGCTACATTGTATAGGTAATGCAATCTATACTATTTTTTATGCTTGAAACATTTCATGATAATTGTGAAATGCAAAAAAGTTTCTGTCATTATTAGTTACCAATGATAAACTATACAAAAAATAAGACCTCTTCCAGTTCTAACAGTCTATGATTCTATGAAGTCTAAACAGGAAAATTCATAAATTTAATGGGCCTTCTCTACCACTCACAATTTGCCAACCCTAAGATATATGTCTAGAGAACATGAATAATTATATGGACCTTTGGGATTTGTTTTTGTTTTTGTTTTAAGAGATGGGGTCTTACTCCATCATCTAGGCTGGAGTGCAGTGGCACAATCATGGCTCACAGCAACCTTGAACTACTGGGCTCAAATGATCCTCCTGCCTTGCCCTTCCAAAGTGCTGGGATTACAAGCATGAGTAACTGTGCCTGGCCTGCACCTTTGTTTTTATATCTAGATATCCAGGTATAGATGCACACATATTGACTTAAACATTTCATATATATCCACTGTACATGTGGGGTTACTATTTACCTGGTGCTTCTCAGATTCCTGCATTCCCCACTGAACACAATCCTGTGGTATGGAAGTGTGATATAAACATCTATTTTGTTATTAAAATTATGAGAGAGTCTTACTCACCTATAGCAATAGTCTTAATATCAATAAGATAAGCCAATTTCTTATTATCTTCTGTTCCTCGCTGACACCTCTCATTAATACGAACACTGAAACATGAAGGGCAAGGTAAGGCAAAATGGGCTGAGGTAGCTGGGATGTTTATTAAAGGCTCTGAAGTACCATATGGGATGAAGCTTTTATTTATTTATTTTGAGACAGGGTCTCACTCTGGTTGCCAAAGCTGTAGTGCAGTGGTGTGATCACGGCTCACTACAACTTCGACTTCCTAAGTTCCAGGTGATTCTCCCACCTCAGCCTCCTGAGTAACTGGGACTACAGGGGTGTGCCACCATGCCTGGATAATTTTTTGTATTTTTAGTAGAGAGGGGGTTTCACCATGTTGCCCAGGCTGCTCTTGAACTCCTTGACTCAAGTAATCTGCTTGCCTCTGCCTCCCAAAGTGCTGGGATTATAGGCATGAGCCATCACGCCTGGCTGAATCTTTTAGATTAACTGGAGGACGCAGAATTTAGGAGTCCAAGAGGAATTATTTTGGGTTTCAGGGATTTAGAGAATCTTGTGAGGGTACCTGATGAGGTGGGGGTTCATGAATTCAGTGCGTACGGAACCCAAGGTGTCATTATTCCCATATTCCACCAGGGTTAGCTCTCCGGCATTGAAGATCATGCATACCTGGGAAAAATGGAGTTGTTATACGGTGGAAAGGCTACATGAAGAAAAACAGTAGTGGGAGATGTACTGTCAGTTCCAGGTGACTACCACTTTTCTCCTTGCTCTCTTACCCTGCCAATTTCATCCTCCCGTTTATCTGCTGTTTCCCTATCCCTTGCAACTTGCCATCTTTATGACACAGAAGCTAGAAGGAGGCTGATCGAGATGGTGATAGTGAATCAAGTTCTACTCACATTCTCATTTTCAAAGAAATACTTCTCATTGCCACCAGATCCTTGCCAGGCTATCTGCAATGGGAGAAGACTTAAGAAGCAATGTGGATAAATACCCAAGATAATGCCGAAATAATGACAGGTTGGGAAGCGGAAAGATCATATTTACATAGGCTTTGGCACTACACAAAAGAGGTGCTATATCAGAATTTGCTCTGGTCCCTGAGAGAAACCAGAGAGATGTTTCTGAGAGATGGCATAAAAACAGTCCAAATATGGTGATTCATACTCTGAGATTATAACCTCCTGGGTCTCCTTCCCTGAAACCAGGTCCCCTACACCAGAATGTTAGAACTTCTCACGGACAGAAGGGATTTTGGGTCCCCACAAGTATTAAGCCAAGATGCCCTATTCCCCACCCTACCATCAATTTTGGTTCCTACCTCACTAAGCCGATTAGTGTTCAGGTCCCCCAGCAGCAGTGTGTCTGATGTGTGGGCCACCAAGTAACGTTCCTTTCCTAGGATTTTCACCTCTTCCACCTCATAGCCATAGTGTGACTTGAGCACCACTCGGGTTCCTGATGACAGGTTCTTCACAATCACCTTGGTAAAGGACAAGTCTGAGCCCCTTAGGCTTCCCCAGCCCAAAAGAAGGGTGAACAACGATGCCCTTTGCCTACCTCCACAGTGCTAAACAAAGCGAATACCTTGTTTCCTCCCTGGGTCTAGGATATTGTTGATAGTAATGATATCTTACGTTTATGTGGGGATTTACTATTTATGAAATGCTTTCCTATATTATCTCTTTTGACGCTCACAATTTATATAATTCTGAAAGTTCCACTGGGTAAAACCAATCATTCTATGTTCTCATAGTCTTTGCACAAACCTTACATATCACTGATCACAGTGTACGTATTGATTGGTTGACTGAATGACTGACAGGGTCTCAGTATGTTGCTTAGGCTGGCCTTGAACTCCTGGGTTCAAGCAATCCTCCTGTCTCGGCCTCCTGAGTAGCTGAGACTACAGGCATGTGCCACTGCATCTGGCTAATATTATTTTTTGATATGTCTGTGTCCTCTGTTATAATGATCTCCTCGATCAAGGGACAATGTCTTACAGATAATTATCTGTGTATTCCCAATGCCTAACACTGCTGACACAAAGTAGAGAATGAATAAATGTTTCTGGAAAGAATAAAAGAATGAAGAAACCAATGTATAATAAATGGAAGGACAGAGGTAGAAAAAAGAGAAAAGTGGGCCCAGGAACTGAGAAATTTTTAGCTTGCAACATCATACACAGTGAGCTCAGAGGCCTTAAAACAACAGAGTTCACATTTATAATCCTATTTATCCAATTGCCCAAATGCCAGTGTGTAGACAGTAAAGTTTTAAGCCAGGAAGGCTTAAGTGGCAATCTGCACACCTTACGCCTGGTGCTTAAAACTTTTCTTTTTCTTTTTTTGAGACAGAGTCTTGCTCTGTCACCCAGGCTGGAGTGCAGTGGCAGGATCTTGGCTCATTGCAACCTCCACCTCCCAGGTTCACGCCATTCTCCTGCCTCAGCCTTCCAAGTAGCTGGGACTACAGGCGCCCGCCACCACGCCTGGCTAATTTCTTTGTATTTTTAGTAAAGACGGGGTTTCACCATGTTAGCCAGGATGGTCTCGATCTCCTGACCTCATGATCTGCCCACCTTGGCCCCCCAAAGTGCTGGGATTACAGGCATGAGCCACCGCGCCCCGCCAAAACTTCTCTTACAATAAGCTGCAAGAACTACAGCAGGAAAGTTACCAAGGTGTTGCCCTGACATATTCTGTTGCCCAGAACAGCTCTTCCAGAGGGATGAAGATGAAATTTGAACTATGGCTGTGGCGAGAGGCAGGGAAATGTTATAAGGATGAATGAGCCACGCAAAGTCTCAGTGCAGTAGGCTACCATCCTGCTTACCTGGCTAGGTCCCACATACGTCAGCTCAAACTTGTTCTTGTAAATACTCCTTCGGAGACAGCAGTCAAACTGTTCCACCCCACCACATAGTGTGCCCTAGAAGGGAAAGTGACAGCATAAAAGGTCACACACATAGTACACTGGCATGGGGAGAGTATCTAGAGACATCCTCAAAACCTAGGCTCTAGAGTCTAGAGAAGAGTTGGCAGTGAAAGACCTGACAGTTTTTGGAATTACCATAAGGAAAGAGGCTACAATCATTGGACTCAAGGGCACAACATATTAATGGGATAAAAGGGAGAAACTAGCCCTGCCTACACACAATTTTTTTTTTTTTTTTTTTGAGACGGAGTCTCGCTCTGTCGCCCAGGCTGGAGTGCAGTGGCCGGATCTCGGCTCACTGCAAGCTCCGCCTCCCGGGTTCCCGCCATTCTCCTGCCTCAGCCTCCCGAGTAGCTGGGACTACAGGCGCCCGCCACCTCGCCCGGCTAGTTTTTTGTATTTTTTAGTAGAGACGGGGTTTCACCGTGTTAGCCAGGATGGTCTCGATCTCCTGACCTCGTGATCCGCCCGTCTCGGCCTCCCAAAGTGCTGGGATTACAGGCTTGAGCCACCGCGCCCGGCCACACACAATTTTTTGTCCCTTTTGTGACCTCCAATAAAGTACGAATTTCTCTTTCCTGCCTTTAACGCCAGAATTTTAGGTTAGGGTCAAAAGGAAAGAGGAGATTTTCTAGTGTCAGGGAAGAGTGCTTTAGGATAAGGCAGGATTTTTTTCTAGTTTGGTGAAAGTCACCAATCCAGAAAGGGATTACTAGTAACACACCACACAGAGCCGTGAGCCATCCCGCTTCCAGGCCAAGGCAGTGATGGTGTATAAATTGGCAATCTCCTTGGGCTTTGCCTCTTCCCAGATGCTTCTTTGAGGGCTCCAGTTGAACACCCGAAGCCTGAAATAAAGTATGTGGCTTTTAGAAGAGATCAAGGCTGAGCTAAAGAGTGCAAATGGGCTTATAAGCAAAGGAAATTAGTCTTGCTATATCAGAAAAGAAAGGAAATAAAAAGAACAGACAAGCTAGGCAGTCTAGCAGGAGAGGATATAAAGGTGCACAGGAAATAAGCTGGGAAAATCAAGGCAAAACTAAAATAGAATAAGTGTGAGGGGAGCAGAGAAAACAAAAAGACCAGGGCAGGTGAGAAAAATAAGCTACTAGAAGCAAAAAAAATATGCAACAAGGAGATAAATGGTAGGAGTCAGTGAAGAAAGAAGAGAACACAAGGAGACATAAGATTGAAGGGCGTAGAAACACAGGACTGACAAAGCTGGGGTTAAACACATGCCAGAGAAATGACGAGACCTGGAACATGGCTGTTTATCTGCTGTTCCATCATTCATTCATTCATTCGCCAAACATCTGAGCATATCTTAGATATAAAGCATGTAGATGCTAATCTAGGCACTGGAGATAAAAAGATGAATAAGCAGCCCCCTTCTCAAGGACTCTGATTCAGCCATCTATCTGGCTACACAACAACAGTTTGCAAACAACAAACTGTAATATAATGTGAGAAACTCTAAGCGGTCTCAAAGAGGGCAATGGAAACAGAAAATAGAGATGAATTTTGCTATGGAAGTGCAGGGAGAGGCACAGAGACAAAACAAGAGCCCAGGACGTTTTGGAACTGCCAGCACACCAATGGATGGAGGGAGCAGGAAGAGGAAAGCGCATGAATTACATACATACATTTGATTCTGCTCCAGTCTCCCACTCTGGCTCAGAATAATTTGGCTAAAGCAGAGAGTGTTCACAGAGAAAGCAGGCAGAAGATAAAACTGGAAAGGGGACTCACCTGTCATAACTTCCTAGCACAACAGACTGGCCCCCAGGACTTGCTACAGCTGTGGTGAACTCCCGCTCCTGAGGGTTACGGCTATAATCAAAAGTTTGTAGCACGTGGCCTTCTTTTCCATAGGCTACAATCTTCCGATCACAGCCTGCAGCCACAATGCTATTGGTTGCCCATGCCAAGGCATAGGGTGGACACGGGTGGTTAACCAACTTCCCCTAAGACAGAAGTAGAGGGTTTCAATCACTCTCTGAAGACTCCACCCAAAAAATTCCTCATTCTCAACACCTGGTACCTTCACTCTGACCATCATACCCTGCAGAAGTCTCTTCCAACATTTTCCTATCCCAACACATCCTAATCCTGAACTCTTCACAAATTGTCACATATACACACACACACACACACACACACACACATCCCTGTACAAACACTTGTTGACCTTGTGCTCTAGAAAAACCTCAAAATGCTTGTATATTGGAATTTTCTTTTCTTTTTTTTTTTTTGAGACAGAGTCTCACTCTGTTGCCCAAGTTGGAATGCAGTGGCTCAATCTTGGCTTGCTGCAACCTCTGCCTCCTGGATTCAAGTGATTCTCCTGCCTCAGCCTCCTGAGTAGCTGGGATTACAGGTGTGTGCCACCACACTAGGCTAATTTTTGTATTTTTAGTAGAGATGGGGTTTCACCATGTTGGTCAGGCTGGTCTTGAACTCCTGACCTTGTGATTCTCGGCCTCTCAAAGTGCTGGGATTACAGGCATGAGCCACTGTGCCCGGCACATATTGGAAATTTTTAATATATACCTGGTAAAGCTCCTCCAAAACGGAGACATCCTACACATTAACCAACAGCATCTAGGCCCACAAAGAGCATAGGGCTTCTTTTTTTAAGGAGGGTTAAATTTAATTATTATACAAGTAATTCTCTCTCTTTTTTTTTTTTTGAGATGGAGTCTCACTCTGTCACCTGGGCTAGAGTGCAGTGGTGCATTCCACCTCACTGCAAATCCTTCAGCCTCCTTGGTGTTCACCGATTCTCCATGCCTCAGGTCTCCGAGTAGCTGGGATTCCAGGCACATGCCACCACACCTGGCTCAATTTTTTATTATTTTTTAGTAGAGATGGGGTTTCACCACTGTTGGCCAGGCTGGGTCTCGAACTCCTGACCTCAGGTGATCACCCGCCTTCGCCTCGCCAAAAGTGCTTGGGATTAGCAGGAGTGAGCCACTGTGCCCGTCCGTATACAAGTATAATTCGTTTTGTTTTTTTTTTTTTTTTTTTTTTTTTAAGACGGTGTTTCCCATCTTGTGCCCATTCTGAGGTTTACAATGGCAATCGCGATTCTTTGTTACGTCGGCAGACTACTGGAACCCCCCCAGGTTCAAGCTATGTCTCGCTGGCCTCAGCCCCCAAATATGCGTGGATTATTAGGCATGTGCCCCGGCCCAGGCAATTTTTGTATAGAGAACGGGGGTTTCACCTTGTTCGTCAGGGCTGGTCTTGAACTCCTGACTCAGGCTGATCCACCCGCCTTTGGCCTCCAAAGTGGCTGGCCGAATTACAGGCATGCACAACTGTGCACAGCCCACAAGTAATTCTTAATGTAAATGATTCAAACAATACAGAATTATATAGAGTAACATGAAAGTTTCCTTTTTATTCCCCATCTTTTTCCTTTCCCCTCTCCAGAGTAAACTGTTAACTCTTGTTTCTATGAAACCACATACATAAATATATATTATATATATTTTACACAAATAGGAATAATTTTCACTTTTCATTACCCTAAGAGTTTTTATTTCCCTTTGTCTCAAAGTCCCTTCCACCTGAGTCATCCCTTCTTATAAGTAGTAAGCTCCAGGCTCCTAATCACAAATCCTTTCAGTGGCCACATCCAACTTTGTCTCTGTCCCTGAGGTCTCACTCCTCTAGCTTCCTCCCTTAGTACCTCAATCCAAATGCCTTAGAAGTCCAACCTCCTCTAGGAGGGTTCCTGGAATTTCCTTATCCCCTATCCCATAGCATCCTTTTTTTTTTTTTTTTTTTTTTTTTGAGACAGGGTCTTGTTCTGTCACCCAGGCTGTAGTGCAGTGGTGCTATTTCAGCTCACTGCAGCCTCAGCCTCCTGGGCTCAAGTGATCCTCCCACTTCAGCTTCCTGAGTAGCTGGGATTACAGGCCCACGCCACCATGCCCAACTAATTTTTTTTTTTTTTTCTGGGTAGAGACAGGGTTTCACTGTGTTGCCCAGGCTGGTTTCAAACTCCTAGACTCAAGCAATCCACCCACGTCAGCCTCCCACAACATTCTTTATTCATACCTGTGACTCTCCAGAGCCTTCATCATCAAAGAAATACCTAACAATGGTACCATCTGCATGACCAGAGAGAATTCCTTTCCCAGAGCAACTAAAAAAGGAGAAAGGAGAGAAATATAGGAAGAGATTATTTTATCTCACCAAGAAAGCCCCTTTCTCTGTCAAACACAACCCTGTCTGTGGTTCCTGCTACCAGTTCTCCTGCCTTTCATACTATGGTCTTGCAGTCCATATTTCCCCACAGCGTTTTTCTAACACTTCCAGACTCTTGTGATACTACTCCTCTTCACTCACTTTGTTGTCAGGGACACCACGTAAGACTCTGTCCCATAGATGGTAGATGATTTATTAGTTTTGGTGTTTGCTAAACGAACCTGAAAATGGAAAAATGACAGAAGTATGGTTAGACTATTTTAAATTTAACTAGGCCTTAAGAAAAAAAGGAAAAACTATCCCACAAAACTGGTCCCTATGCATTCTCCCCAGCATACAACTTGATCCTAAGAAAGAGGGTGAACCATATTCCTCTCTCCAGAACCATTATCCCTACCACCCCCTCTCTTGTGTTTCCCTTCCCTCTTTTACCTTCCCTTCAGCCAGCCCAAAGACAATGATGTACTCTGCGGGCCACTGCAGACAAGTGACAGCACTCTGTGTGAAAGGAAATGATAAAAAGGATAACCCCATCTGTGTGGGCCAACACATTTATAACAACTTCAACACCCCACCACACACCACCACGTCAATCTCCTATACGGAAGGGACACAACAGGGCTCTAAGGAAGACAGCAGATGACCGTGTACAGCCACGAAGCACCATCCTTGCAGTAGGAAAAGTCACATTCAGATGTTAGAAATGCAACTCCTGGCTGTATTTATAAGTAGATATATTGATATATGTTTGTTCATCCTAAGCTTCCAGTGACTGGTCTGAACTTTACCGTCTGGATGAACTTGTTGCAGATGACTTTCTTGTCACCCCTGCCAAACAAAAGGAGGGGAAACATATTAAAAACCACTTCCATAAACAAATTGCCAAAAATGATGCTGAGGGAAGAGAAGAAAGAGCAGATTTCTTCCCTGGCCCACTAGTGTTTCTGACTACTCTGTAGGAGCCCTGAAGGGAGGCATATAAGGCAGCCTAAGAAGTTTCAGAACAATAACAAAGATGCGACATCACTCTGGGCTTCCAGGATCTCACAGGGCCTGCTGTTGATCTTGGACTGTTTCCTCCAGGGATGGGACTGCAGAACACGAGGCACAGGCGAAGGCAGAAAAGCAACAACAGACTCCAGAAAGTCTCTGCCTTCAACGGTCAAGCTTGGCTTCTCATCCTCTTTATTTCCCCTCCCCAGTGAGGCATTTCTCTTGCCTTCCCCTTCTTTCCTGGGCAATCACATCTCCCAATCTCTATCCTCACCAATCTTCTCCAATCTTGTAGACATAGATGATGTTGTCAGTCTGTCCTATGGCAATTTTAGTGGAATCAGGAGAAAAAGCCATGCCCTTCACCATATAGCTCTTCCTGCCATACTAACAAAAAAAAAAAGAAAGAAAGAAAAAGAAAAAGAAGTAATGAGCACACATGAAAGAAAAAAGAGAAAAAAAAAGGTATATGTGTGCTCCTAAGGGAGCTTGAGGATTTATACTGAGAAAAAGGTGGGGTGCACCATTTCCTATGCCGATGGCTAGGAGGCAGACTAGGTCTTCCAGGGTTGTGAGACCCCACCAACAGGTTAAGGTACACATGAATACACTGTTTACCTTCATGTCAGCTGGTTTGGTGGAGAATTTATCTCTCCGTTCTCCATGTTCATCATACAGTAAGACTACTCGGTCCACTGTGCAGACAGCAAATTTGGCATTGTTCTGGGACCAAGCCATGCAAGTCACCTTTGCAGCTCCATCCTGCAGAGGCAAAGGGGTAAAAACAAACCCATGTGCTGGTCTAGAATACCAAAAGCATTTCTAGTTCTATTAATTCTAGTGTAATTCTGGTCAATTTTCTTTCTGTCATGATTCTATCCTCAAAACAAAGAGATGCCTGTAGCCCATCCTGGTCTCCAAGGCCTTCAGATCCTGGACTGTGAGAACAATGTGTTTCCAGAGACTCATATGCAAATGCACTAAGAGGCAGTGTGCTCAGTCAACTGTATGAATGAATCTCTGCAATGGCCTCCTTGTTCCCAGGTCTACTACTGAAATAAATTCAATTAGTCTGGTAAGTTTTGGTCGTTAGCCATTCATTCAATTAATAGTTTTTGAGCACCTTATTGATCAAGGCACATGGCCAGGGGCTGAGAGACAAAAAACAAACCATAGATCCTGCCTCCAGGTCTAATAAGATGGTGTAAAATAGGAAAAGTCCTATTAAAGTATGTATAAAATACTGCAATAGTTTGGAGAAGCCTGAGAGAATTTTATGCTTAAATTATCAAAATTAAGCTTTGAAGAATGAATGCAGTTGAGTAGGAAGTTATCTGAGATGGAAGGAATGGCAATGAGCAAAGGCAAGTTCTGGACAAGAAACAGTAATTTAGTTTATTTGAAACTATTATACCTTATAAATAGTAGAATAGAAGGGGTAAGGCAGGAAAAACGGCCAGCTCAGGAAGTCTTTGAAGTCAGGCAAAGGAGTTTGGGCTTATTTGGCAGGAAAGGGAGAGACAGTGAGAGTTCAAGATAGGGGGAGTACGAGTTGAGACTCAGGATGAACAATCCCACTTTCTTTTCTTCTTAACTACCCACTTCACAGAAACTCAAGTTAGAAGTTATCCAGGTGAATTATTCTGACTGGATCTGACCCTTCCAACACTAGCTCTGGTCCTAAGGGACTAGTTCTGTTATGAAGGGTTTCCTTCCTTGAAAACAAAACATTTATTCTGCTTTTCTTCTGTTCCAATTGTTTGATTAATTATTTGGATACTAGAGTTCTGGCTTAAAACATTGACACGGCCGGGCGTGGTGGCTCAAGCCTGTAATCCCAGCACTTTGGGAGGCCGAGGCGGGTGGATCACAAGGTCAGGAGATCGAGACTATCCTGGCTAACATGGTGAAACCCCGTCTCTACTAAAAATACAAAAAACTAGCCGGGCGTGGTGGCGGGCGCCTGTAGTCCCAGCTACTTGGGAGGCTGAGGCGGGAGAATGGCGTGAACCCGGGGGGCGGAGCTTGCAGTGAGCCGAGATCGCGCCACTGCACTCCAGCCTGGGAGACACGGTGAGACTCCGTCTCAAAAAAAAAAAAAAAAAAAAAAAACATTGACACTTTTCACTCCAAACTCACCTATCTCCAAAGTCAGAAATAAAAAGGCTCTTTTCCTCCAAATCCTCAAGCCAGAAAATAGCCACACCACCATCACTATGATCCTCTAACTCTTCATTATATTAGGTTAGAAGGGCTGAGGGCTCCTCATCAACTGTTGCTGATCCTCCTGCTTTATCGCTTTGCCCAATCCTGGGCATGCAGCCCTACCTGCATCATGACATCATCTTATTTTGAGAGACTGAAGGAGGATTTCATTTCCAATTTTTCCGTTAGGGCAAAGAAATGTTTAAATTACATATTCAAGAGACAGCTTGCTGAGCAATGAGCACAAATCTCTTTCTTTTTTTTTTGTCTTCTCCAACTGCGGAGAGAGCACAACTATTTTCTGTTCTAATTTCCTTCTGTTTTTTTCTTTTTTTTTTTGATGGAGTCTCACTCTGTCCCCCAGGCTGGAGTGCAGTGTCACAATCTCAGCTCACTGCAACCTCTGTTTCTTAGGCTCAAGGATTCTCCTGCCTCAGCCTCCCAAGTAGCTGAGGCCATAGGCGTGCGCTATCGTGCCCGGCTAATTTTTTTGTATTTTTGGTAGAGACAGGGTTTCACCGTATTGCCCAGGCTGGTCTTGAACTCCTGATCTCAAGTGATCCACTTGCCTTGGCCTCCCGAAGTGCTGGGATTACAGATGTGAGCCATCATGCCCGGCCTGTGTTCTAATTTTCTTCTATTGTCCAAATGCCACACCCTCTGTGAAGCCTTCCTGATTTCCATAATCAATTCTGCTTTCTCTACAATATGTACCTCACTAGATTGTTTTATTAAGTGAGGTAGGGAATAAAATAATAAGAGCTTGCCTTTAACAAGTACTTACCATAGAATAGGCATTTTGATAAGTGCCTGACAAGCATAATCTCATTTTACCTCATAACACTGAGGTAGATGCTATTATCCCCCTTTTACAGATGGAGGAATGGAAGCGCAAAAAGATTAAGTAATTTGCCCAAGTTCACATACACCGTTTGTAAGTAGTAGGACCATGATTTATTTAATTAATTAATTTACTTTTTGAGGCAGAGTCTCGCTCTGTCACCCAGGCTGGAGTGCAGTGGTGCGATCTCAGCTCACTGCAATCTCTGCCTCCTGAGTTCAAGCGATTCTGCCATCTCAGCCTCCCAAGTAGCTAGGATTACAGGCATGCACCACCACACCTAGCTAATTTTTGTATTTTTAGTAGAGGTGGGGTTTCACCATGTTGGCCAGGCTGGTCTCGAACCCCTGACCTCCGGTGATCCGCCTGCCTCGGCCTCCCAAAGTCCTGTAGCTAGGATTACAGGCATGAACCACTGCACCTGGCCTAGAACCATGATTTAAATCCATAAACCACAATCCCAATTTCTTTATTAAGATGCCCTAGTACATATTACACATTCAGTTATGGAACATCTTATTTATTTTTGAGACAGAGTCTCGCTCTGTCACCCAGGCTGGAGTGCAGTGGTGTGATCACATCTCACTGCAGCCTTGACCTCCTGGGCTCAGGAGATCCTCCCACCTCAGTGACCCCAGCAGCTGGGCCTACAGGTGCTTGCCACCACACGTGGCTAATTTTTTTTTTTTTTTTGACATAGTGTCACTCCTGTCCCCCACGATCTCGGCTCACTGCAACCTCTGCTTCCCAGGTTCAAGCGATTCTCCTTCCTCAGCCTCCTGAGCAGCTGGGATTACAGGCAGCTGCCACCACACCTGGCTAATTTTTGTATTTTTAGTAGCGATGGGGTCTCACCATGTTGACCAGGCTGGACTCGAACTCCTGACCTCAGGTGATCCGCCCGCCTCGGCCTCCCAAAGTGCTGGGATTACAGGCGTGAGCCACTGCATCTGGTCAAAATTTTTTTGTAGAGGTCCTGGATTCCTGGGCCCAAGTGATCCTCCCACCTTGGCCTCCCAAATTGCTGGGATTACAGGTGTGAGCCACAGTGCCTGGCCAGACATCTTATTCTTATTAGCTTTGTATTATTCTGTCCTTTGATTTTTGAATGTCCTTTCCTCTTGTCTATCAATTTTTCACACTGCTTTTCAGTTTACAATGCTCTTTTGTGTATATTACTCTATATAACTCTTCCCCAAGTCCCCCAAAGTTGCCATTAGTACTCATGTTTTTCAAATGAAGAAGTTTGTGAGTGCTCCGAAACACCCTATGATAAAGGCTAAAGTTAGAGATATCAGGTCATTTGTTTAAAGTAGTGGTGGCCAGCCTGGTCAACATGGGGAAACCTCGTCTCCACAAAAAACAAAAACAAAAGCAAGCAAACAAACAAACAAAAATTACCCGGGCGTGCTACTTGGGAGGCTATGGCAGGAAAATCGCTTGAACCCGGGAGGCGGAGGTTGCAGTGAGATCACGCCACTGCACTCCAGCCTGGGCGACAGAGCAAGACTCTGACTCAAATAGTTAAATAAATAAATAGTGGTGGATCTGAAATAAGGACAAGGTAAGAAATTTTAGAAAGAAAGTAAGAAAGAAGTGGTGGAGCTAGGACTTAAATTCTGCTGTGCTAACTCCAAAGTCCACCCTTTCTTCACCATGTTTCAGGGCTCCTCACCTGGTGCCCAGCCTCTCCTGAATCAGAATACACGGTTCGGTCTTTGCACTCCCCATTCAGGGCTTGCACCTAAGGCGTTTATTTAATTATGGGCAGATTCATACTCGCTGCTTACATGTGCACCTCTCCCTCTAATACGAGCCTCCTGAAGGCAGGGGAATAAGTCGGGTGGTTTGGGTATCCTTCGAGTCCCAGCACGGGGCCTGTACACAACTGATGTGAATGAAATGTAAGGAAAGCTACAAGTCCTTAGCGCTGCATCTCGCCTCCTGAGCACTGTATCGACAGGACAGGGTCCAGATGATCGCTATATCCTTTATAGCCTTCTGCACACAGTAGGAGCTCAATATCATTAAACTTCAGTTCCCCCACTTTTCTTGGAACATAAAGCGGAAGGGGGAGGGACTGGCACGCAACTCCTCACCTGAGGGCTCAGCAGGGTCCTCAGGTGCTTCAACTGCATGACGCACACTTGTCTCTCAGATGCTACCAGACAGCGACAACTCCCGTGGTTACCTGGACAACCCGCCACGCACTCGCAGCGACAGCCGCTGACGCTTATGCGACCGGAGCGCAACACGCGTCGCAAGGTTACACGTAGCTTTGCGGCGAAGCAAACAGAACGTGCGCAAGCGCGGTGAGACCTAGGGCGGGCCCTTGAGAGGGCTTGATGAATGCTCCCCTTGACCAATCCCGTCGCCGCATGCAAACTTGAGACCAAGCCCCGCCCACAAGTCTTCGGCCAGCCCTGGGTCCTACGTCATAGCGGTCCGTCTCGCTCTTTGAGGTACCTGGCTGTTGCTGAGTGCACTCTCTTTTAATCCTCACAACCCTGGAGGGAAGCAGGCCGGTTGCCATGATAGGCCTTTTGCAGTTGGCGGAATTGTACCCAAATAGGTTACATGACTTGCACGGAATCGCAAGGCTGATAACGACAGCTAACGATGAATACTATGTGTCTGCCAGATACTGTGTAAAGTATTGTACGTGCATTTATGTCATTTAATCCCAAAACCGCCTTTTGAAGAGGATAGCGTTATTATTAGTCGCATTTTACATAACAGGAGACTCAAGGCACTTGCTCAAACTAACACAGCCAGCGAAGGACTTGTAACTGGGATTCAACCCAGAGTTAGTAGCTTTAAACAGCTTTTATGTTCCTTCTCAACTCCAAGCTCGCTCTCTGCATGCCACGATACTATAAAATCTGTGACACTCCCATCCCAATAAATGACATTTATTCTCAGAATCTGAGAGATGAGTGTTTTGGAACCAGCTGCCAAAGAAACGTAAGGTACCCTACTTCCAAATCAGGTAATGGTGAGTTAAAGACTGCTGTTTATATTGGAATGCTTTTACGGTTCAGTTTGTTGTTGTTGTAGTTGTTGTTTTGAGAGTGAATTTCGCTCTTGTTGCCCAGGCTGGAGTGCAATAGCGCCATCTTGGCTCACTGCAACCTCTGCCTCCCAGGTTCAAGCGATTTTCCTGCCTCAGCCTCCCAAGTAGCTGGGATTACAGGCATGCGCCACCATGCCCGACTAATTTTGTATTTTAGTAGGGACTGGGTTTCTCCATGTTGGTCAGGCTGGTCTTGAACTCCCAACCTCATGTGATTCACCTGCCTCAGCCTCCCAAAATGCTGGGATTACAGGCGTAAACCATGGTTCCCGGCCTATGGTTCAGTTTTGAGGGCAGACCTGACTTGGCTCACCCGACAGGTTGTCTTGTGATACCTGGGGTTAGAAGTTGGTTAAGTAGAAAAGGGACTGACCTGTTGATCTTTGTTTGGATTGGAGTCCCTTTCAGACTTTTTGGCCTATCTTCTAACATACCAGAGAGATTGAAATGCAGAAAGGAGTTATTCATAAGCCTGCTCTGAAATGATCCAAAGTTGGGAAGATCTGTAACTCTCCAGAAAGTGTAGCATATGCTCTCCAGACAGACTGTGGGTCCAGAAGCCTTCCCCAACAGTGGTTGCAAATGTCAACAGGTGTTTGTCTCATGGCTACCAACCAACCCTTAGAAAATAGGAAAGAGCAGAGGACAACCCCTATTTTCACAGGAAACAAGTAGGCCTCAGAGCTCAAATGATAATTCTTTTGACAGGGGAGTCCCAACCCCTCAGTTTTATTTTCAGGATCCTCCTCTGGATATGGTGGCAGAGCATGAATATAAACTCATTTATGATTTACAGTTATTATTGACTTTGACTAAACAGAGACAGAGATGAACACAAAGGAGGGAAGAACAGACACAGGAACACATAGGATAGGAGCATGTGGCGCCAAGGAATCCATGAGTGTAGCTGTCCTTTCATTAGTCCCCAAGACACTGCTTAGTCCTTTTCTGACCATTAGCCCAGGGTTGATGGAGGAGTCAGAAGAATAAGTGCTGAGGAGCTGTGCTGTCAATGCAAGCAGTGAAGATAAAAAGGCTGGTGCTCTTTCATATGATATGCCTTCGTTTTCAGTGGTACAGTAACTTATATCTTTCTCTTCTCTTTTTTCCCCTTCTCACCCAACAAAGCAAAATAATCTGGGGTTCTAGTTTTCTACACCTCTTCTTCCTGGCCCTATCCTAGAGTGGGGTATTATCACACCTTGCAATGCTCCTGTCAAGTAGGTGGTGGTGTAAGGGGCCCTTGGAGGGTCGGGAGAGAGACAAGGTGAAGAAATGTTTTCAGCATACTATACAGTCAGCTCCAGTTTGTCCAAGAACCTTTATTGGAAAAATGTCCAAGGAGTGAGATCACTAGCAGCTGAAGGGGCTGCCAGGTGAGAGGGGGAGCACCTGAGGCTCCATGGAAGACATTGGAGTAGTGCAGTGCAGCATCTGCCTCTAGGCTCAGACAATTCCTTTTATTTGTTGGGGTAAGAGGAGTACCCACAGAAAATGCGACCAGTCCCTCTCTGAGGCCCAGAGGCAAGATGTGGGGGCAGCTGGGGATGCTGAGAGTCCTGATACAGGTGAAATGGGGCCCCCATTTGGGACCTAATGGAGTAGGGTACAACAAGTGACTCTCCCCTGGACCGGGGGATGGAAGGAGATATCCCATCTGATATCCACTCCCCAGGTCCAGGGGCACAGACTCTTAACAGACCTACCTTCTGGCTCTGCTCACAGTGGAAAGAGGATGGGTACCAGGCCTGAGATTGTGGGAGTGTCATTACCCTCTGGGAGTCTCAGGCAGATCACCATCTTGGGCTCTCCCTGACCCCATCCCCATCCCCAGTTGTTAGTGCATCTCTCTTCTGGGTGTGTTTCTTCACTCAAACGTCGATGGTGTTGATAGATGGTGATTTTTTCTGTGAAAGAAAATGGCCTGTGTCTCAATTTCAGGAAGGTAATAGGTGCCACCCTTTCTCTCCAGCCTCCCCCATCTCAGGTCTTCCATTTTCCATCTTTTTCTGCCCCTCTTTGGCCTTCTTCCTTTCCCTGGCTGCCCCTCAGGGGCAGAGTCACCCTTTCCGCCCTCACTGGCCCCCACATCACCTGTCTTGTCCCCACTGGCCTTCCCTGAGGACTCTGTTCCGGCCCCTTTCCCTTCTCCTTGGGATTGTTGTTGGAGTCATTGTCCTTGATGATGTCATACTGACGGCAGAACAGCCCAATTACAGCTGAAACACAATACAGTCTGAGCCTTCATCTCCACCTCCCTCCTCACAGGGAGATACCCACATAGCTTCTAGAAAATCCACGAAGAACATCCTGAACTCCTGGTGCCCATGCAGTCCTCCTCTCCGGGCTCTCAACAGCCTCCTCTCCCTCTCTTCAAAGTTCAAATCATCCCTCCTCAACTAATTATCTCCCCACTCCATTTCTCATTTCTCTCGCTTCTTTTTTTTTTTTTTTGAGACAGGGTCTCGCTCTGTTGCCCAGGCTGGAGTGCAGTGGCACAATCTCAGCTCACTCACTGCAACTTCCACCTCCTGAGTTCAAGCGATTCTTCTGCCTCAGCCTCCCGAGTAGCTGGGATTACAGGCACCCTCCAACACACTCCGCTAATTTTTGTATTTTTAGTAGAGACAGGTTTCACTATGTTGGCCAGGCTGGTCTTGAACTCCTGACCTCAGGTGATCTGCCTGCCTTGGCCTCCCAAAGTGCTGGGATTATAGGTGTGAGCCACTGCAACTGGCCCATCTCTCACTTCTTTTTCTCCTGACAACCTTTGCCACCTCACACCTTTACTGAGTCCCTAGTCCCCTGTCTAGCTGCTTACTCACCAGCCCACATGAGCAACACCACCACAATGATGACCACTTCCCCAGTCTGCAGTGGCCGCTCTCCATCCAGACCCTCCACTGTGATGTCACCTGAGAAAGAAGAAGGCAGACTCCGGGTTACTGGGGAATAGCTATCTATGTAGACATATGCAGGATGGAAATGCTGGGGATTAGAGAGGGTAGACTCATCATAATATTGCCCCTGGAGTGTAGGGTAGCCCCTCCCTGGGAGGAAGCCATTGGTGGACAGGTGGTTAGCGACCAAAAAGCAGGATGGCTGCAGGTTTATTACGCACTCATGCAGGCTGCAGCTGATGTGAAGTTGGGTAACAGGAAGCTTAAAAGCCCTTCCCCCGAAAAACTCAATACCAGCCTGTCTATACCCAGCCCCTTCCCACCTGCTTTTCCTTCCTTTCCTGGCAGTACAATGAATTAAATCATCCTATTCAACTCAGCTAGTCTGTTGCTTGTCTTAGAGAAGTAAGTAAGAGGCTGCAAGCCAGGTGAGCAGCCAGAGAATCCAATAGCACAGACCCTCACCTGGGCTTGAGCTGTTTGAAGGTAGCCGGTCAGAACCCTTGAGAGTTCGGAAGTGCACCCGGGGCCCTGGGGGGCTCTCTCCCCGAAGGCCGATGCTCCTGACCTGCACTGTGTAGTCACTGTCTTCAGCCAGGCCCCAGAGGGCACAGGCCCGGGTGGTGGTGTTCACCTCCCGAATCACACGCTGCCCGGGGCCATTCTGCCGCTGCAGGGAGATGAGGGGAGAGGAGGACAGCCTCACCCCAGTGCCAGGCTACGAGGCTCAACCAGAGACTCTTCAACATCCAAGCACTCCGGGGGAGTAGCGTGAAAAGGGCAGCCTGAGCCAGGATACGGCAGCTTCCAGATCCCCCCACCTAAGTGAAGAAATGTGCAGAAATCTAAGGACACAGGTTGGGGGAGCAGAAGGGTGATTCATACTTGCTGGGAAATGGAGTAGCCAATGACGATGTTGCCTTCTGGGACGTCCCAGGACACAGTGGCCGAGTTGGCTCTGAGGTGAGTGACCGTCACATTCACAGGAGAGGGAGGCCGGTCTGTGGGAGCCAGGGTGTTAACAGGTTTCACCCACTGACTAGCTCTGGTTGACCCTCAGCCCCGTTCCCCTTTACTTACCTGCTCGCAGAAAGCCCAGGTCACAGCTGACCAGCAGGAGGACCGTGGGGCTTAGATATGGGGAAAGGGGCATCAGCGAAGCCATGTCCCCACCGAGTCCGCTGGGGGGGGCACTGTGGCATCCGCTTGACATCCAGGCGGGGCTCCTGGAGGTGGCAGGAGTTGTGGGGGGTCAAGGACTGCCCACAACGCACGGCGGGGGGGGGGGGGTCGGGCAGCAGCTCTCCTAGGCTCCTCA